ATCAACTGAGAAGGGTCAGCAGTGTGGAAGAGGGGTTGCAGTTTTAAATGGGGCCATCAGGGTAAGCCTCATTTAAGAGGGTAGACTTTAAGCAAAGACCTAAAGGAGGGGGGAGTGTGCAGATATCTAGGGAGGGATGGCAGGCAGAGGAAGCCAGTGAGACTGACCAGAGCAGGAGATGTGGGAAGAGAGGACTTTGAGACCAGAGTGAAATGGGAACCCTTGAGGGGTTTTGATGGAGAATGATGTAGTCTGACTTCTATTGTGAAAGGGTCACCTTGCTGTTGTGTTGAGAGTTGGCTAAGGGTGCAAGTTGAAGCAAGGCAAATGTTTAGAGACTCTCTCAGTCCATTGGGTAGGAGATGCTAGTGGCCCAGAATGGGCAGGTAGCCGTGGAGGCTGTGAGAAGAGGCTGGATGGAAGAGGTTGGGTTCCACCTATTCATTATAGATAACACTGATGGGACTTGCTGAATAGATTGGATGTAGATGGGGAAAGAAAGAGAAAAGGCCAAGTTTATTCCCGTACTGGCCTGATGAACCACAGGGATAGGCTGGGGAAGGTTGTGGGGGGAGGAGTAGGAACTCACTGGCCAGATTAAGACATACAAGTGGAACTGTTTGTGGGTAGTTGGATATATGATTCTGTTCACACAGGAGAGGGCTGGATTAGAAATACTTTTTAGGATTCTTTGATAGATGTTGTTCAGTGACGTCGAGTCAGTTCTAACACATAGAGACCCTGTAAAGGGTTTCCACCAACCTTGTGGTCCAGGGCTGATCCTGCAGTGCCACACCTTTAATATATATTTAAAGACAAGAAGCAAAAGACCAGCTCTAAGGACTGAGCCCAGGACCCTCCAACATTGGCAGGTCAGAGAGAAGGGAGAAGGGAAACGGACAGGAAGGCCCCTGAGGTGAGAGGAACACCCAGAGCCTGGAATCCTGGAAGCCAAGAGGTGGAGACTTTCCAGGAGGATGGAGATAGGATCCCTGGGTCACAGGCTGCTGCCTAGGCAAGTCATCTGAGGGTAAGACCATCAGAGGTCATGAGGGACCTTGAAAAGTTCTTGGGCTTTGGGAAGGGAAGGTTCTGCTTGTGACGCTGTAGGATAAGGCACTGAACCACAGGTCAGTTTGAACTGCAAAGATGACCACTTCAAACTCACCAGGAGCTCCTCGGAAACCCTATACAGGGACGCTGTGGCTCCGAACATACTTGACAGCACTTAACAACAAGTGCTCAGAGAGGTGAGGATCAAGCAGCACAGAGCCGCAAGGCTGGGCCAGCCAGGGTAACTGACTAGCTCTCAGTCCCACTCACCCCCTCAGCCAAGCATCTTTGTGTGAGGCCCAGTCTGGCCAGCCTCCATCAGCGCCTGTGTTCATGAAGAGTAGGAGTGAATGTGCATGCCTTAAAGTGCATGTCAAAGCGCAGGCTGCCACAAGAGGGCGCCCACATCTACCAGGGGATCTCACAAAGGTGCCTCAGAAGGCCTGAGGACTAAGAGCACCACAAAGATCTTGCTCAAGGAATCATCAGTGGATGGTTGTTTAGAGAAGCTTCCAACCTTTCCCAGAGAGATTTGGTCTGTGTGCAGTAATTAGGTGTTTCAGTGGGCGGATTTATTGAAGCCATGCCTCTCTGCTCGGTGAACCTTGTCAGGAATTCCCTGGGGCTGGCTGCGGGCAGTGAGAGGCAGGAAGTAACTGCCCACTCTGTTCCCTTTGCTTTTCTCCTCTTAGTTTATCAAGTTTAAAAAAATTGTAAAAGTAAAATATGCTTATCAAACAGAACAGATGGGGAGTTTGGAAGGGTATTAGTTGTTGTTAAGTGCTGTTGAGTCAGTTCTAACTTATAGTGATCCTTACAGAGCTTCCAAGAAGCAGCTAGTGGCTTTGAACTGCTGACCTTGTGGTTTGCAGTCCAGTGCATATCCTGCCACCTTAGAAGGGTACAGTCAGGAATAACAGGGTCCCATTCCCAAACTCCAAGTCCCCCCAAAGCTGACCACTATTAACCCTACTAGAGTGTGCCAATGTGACACAGTTAAGAGCTGCCCACAGGGATGGGAAGTCAAGGATGGGGGATGATCAAATGCCCATCCCCACTTGATGACAGTTTAACTGACTGCCCAGATTCCTCTGACACACATACACGGGCTCAGAATTGACTCAAGGGCAGCAGGTTTACTGGTGGTGGTGGTGGTTAACTACTGTGGGGTCAGCCCCCAACAGAGGGTTCTCTCAACAAATGGGACAAAACACTGTCCGGTGGTCAGTTAGGGATTAGACCATTGTGATCCATGAGGTTTTCACTGTGACTGATTTTAAGAAGTTGATTGCCAAGGGTTTCTTCTTCATCTGTCTGAGTCTTGGAAACTCAGCATCACAGCAACATACAAGCAAGCCTCCACTGACAGATGGATGGTCCACGGGCCAGGAATCAATCCCAGGTGTTAGCTCATGGCTTCCTGGGAGAGATGCCTGGAAAGCATCCTCTACAGGCACTGTGTAGAATGAGGCACTGAGTACAGGCAGACCTCGTTTTATTGTGCCTCGCCTCATCACACATAGTAGGTGCTGTGTTTTTGATTCATTGAAGGTTTGTGGTAACCCTACATCAAGCAAGCCTGTTGGCGCCAATTTTCCAACAGAGTGTGCTCACTTCGTGTCTTCATGCCACATTTTGGTAATTCTTACAATATTTCAATTTTTTTCAAAACACTTGGAGTCCTGGTGTGGACTGCAATAAGCGCTGGACTGCAATGTCTGTTTGAATGGCAAGGTCAGTGATTCAAACCCAGTGGCCACTCCTTGGAAACCCTATACAGGGTCACTGTGAGTTGGAATCAACTTGACAGCACTCAAAAATAATTTTGTACACTTTGTGGACTACAGTATAGCTTCATATGGGCTGGGAAACCAGAAAAAAAAAAAAAACCCAAATTGTGTGACTTACTAGTAAAGTAAGTTTGCTTTATTGCAGAGATCTGGATCCACAGTATCTCCAAAGTAGGAGGCTAAGTCACAAATGTTGCTATCCAATCTTAGGAACATTTGTTAAACAAAAATAGTCCCTCTTGACAACATCTCCTCCATCTAGGACTATACACTTTGAAGGCAGTGTTTCCATCTCTCTAACCCTTCCCCAGGAGTCCTGGTGTGGCGTTATGGTTTATGCTGAGCTGCAAAGTCAATTTGAACTTCAAGGTCAGTGGTTCAAGTTCACCAGCTGCTCCTTGGAAACACCCTCTATGTCAGAACCAACTCAGCGGCTCTTAACAGCAACAACAACTCTTCCCCGATTAATTCTGCATTCTTTGATTGATACCACATCAAAATGGAGTTTTGGCATCCTTGAGAAACCTAAATCAAGTTCATTTTCAATGTTCTTTGAGTTTGGGAAGCAAAAAGAAATTTGAAGGGACAAAATGAAGGCTTTAGGGTAGATGGAGTAAGGTTTCCAAAATCAATTCTCATGTTGTTGTTAAGTGCAGTTGAGTTGATTTCAATCCATAGCACCCCTGTAAAGCATTTCCGAAGAGCGGCTGGTAAGTTTGAACCGCTGACATTGCAGTCTTTATGCTATGAGAATGAGCAGGTACATTGTTGTGGTAGCAAAAATTCCTCAGTGTAACTTAACTTGCCTGGCCTTCCCTCCCCAGTGCAGTTTTTGTTTTCTTCAGACTTATTCATAAGTCCCTGTGATTGTCCTCTGTCCTTCAAGAAAAGCTATCAAGATTACCCTTTTGGAATCCCAAAGAATAGTCACCATAACCTTCTGAGCTGTGCTCTTGGCCATGAATGGAACTGGCCCAGCAGATCCCCTCAGTAGTCACTGTTTTGATTGGACTGTTTTTAAAGGCACCTAAGGAGACTGAGTCCTGGTGTAGCGCTGTGAGTTAATGCGCCAGACTGCAAAGCCGCTTGAACTACAAGGTCAGTGGTTCAAGCTCACCAGTCGCTCCTTGGAAACCCTATGCAGAGTTGTTATGGGTCGGAACCGACTCGACGGTACTTAACAACAACAACGAGACTAAGACAAGAGTGTTACTGAGAGAATGTGTCTGCAGCCATCTACCGATCACAGAGACGTGTTCAAACATGGTTTTTTTTTTGGAGTAAACCCATGCATGTATGAACTAGAACCTCAATAGCAGTACTTTCTGGCTTACCCTCATGTGCCCATATGTTCCAAAGGGGAAGCCATGCAGAAGAGCCTGACTTTACTTTCACAGATCTCATGGGGCTTTGTCCCTTAGGCTGGTCCAAACCTGTGTCTCTCCTCGTTCATTCTCCTCTGTAGAGCGGAGGCCAAGCCCTTCTAACTATTTACTTGCTGTCACTTGCTGGGGCAGGGGACATTGAGAAGCAGGGTGGGGGCCCAGAGGAGGGTCTGGGAAGCTCGGTTACACCATCTGCCTTCACCCTCTGACTCATAACTTCTTCTTACTCAACTTAGGTTAGGTGATCCCCTCTCTTAATGATACTCTTTGCCCTGCCTAATTAGAAGCTGGACTAATTTGTAAATGGCTTTAGAAACTGAGAGACTTTGCCTGGGGTAGTATCGCAGCCCCTGGGTCCTTGAAGTGGATTTTTGCCAAAGAGAGTAAGCAGTGTGTGAGGGAATGTGAGGATGAGCCTCCTGTCCAGGTGGGTCACATGTCCCCAACCACGGGCTCTCTGTGCCCACGGGTTATCAGTGTGCCTCTTTCCCCTACCCCAGGAGCTCCTCAAACCCCTGAAACCTGGCACCAGGCAGAACTTTGACATCTCATCCCATTTAAACAAATGGTCCTTAATGAAACACCTTTATAAAAATAATAATACTTCCAGTTTTTCTTTTTATAAATGCAGCATCTGTTCATGATAGAAACTTTAGAAAGCAAAGAAAAGGGGAAAAAATCACCTATGACCACAAATATATTAACATTGAATGGAGGGAGTCTCCTGTCCGGTCCATTTGCTCTGATCTAACTCACTGCCTTGTCCCTACAGGGAAGTCCCACCTGGCCATCGTGCAGAAGGTGAACAACGAGGGTGAGGGTGACCCCTTCTATGAGGTCCTGGGCCTGGTCACCCTGGAGGACGTCATTGAGGAGATCATCAAGTCTGAGATCCTGGACGAGTCGGACATGTACAGTGAGTTTCTCCCTTGCCACGTGCCCTCAGAGCCCCTTTCCCGCTGGGATCAGAAACCCAATGCCGACACCCCAACACCCAGTAACATGGCCCTCTGTGCTGGCCATTGTGAACGGGAGCACATTGTTGAGAGTAGTGGGAGGACATCACCTCACCTCCGTTCTTCCCTGCCCCTGGGCCTCTGAGACCCTTCCCTGGACCAGAGCTGCTGCTTCTGGATTAAAGAGACCAGCAGAGCTGGTCCCGATTTCTCAAGGGAGTGTTCTTAGTCAGATTAAATTCCAATTCTTCCTCTTGGCAGCTGACAATCGAAGCCGGAAACGGGTATCTGAGAAGAATAAGCGAGATTTCTCAGCCTTCAAGGATACTGACAATGAACTCAAAGTGAAAATTTCACCTCAGCTACTTCTGGCTGCTCATCGCTTCTTGGCCACAGGTAAGAAACAGCATGAGGAAGACCTTCAGGTGTTGATGAAAAACATTCATGGAGAGGGAAATATTGGGGTAAAGGCTGCAGCAGAGGATCGATTTAGCCATAAGTTATCGAGTTGGCCGTTGCAAACTCAAGAGTCCCCGGGTGGTGCAAATGGTTAATACGATTGGCTACTAACCAGAAGGTTAAAGGTTGAAGTCTACCCAGAGGTCCCTTAGAAGAAAGACCTGGCGGTCTACTTCTGGACAATCCACCATTGAAACTCCTGTGGGTCACAGTTCACTCTGACTCACATGAGGCCACCCTGTGTCAGAGCTGACTTCATGCTGCTGGAGTTTCAGACTTCTAGAGGGCAGCACGGTGGCTCTGTAGGATAAGCACTGGACTGTGGATCACAAGATTGGTGGTTCGAGCTCACCAAGTGCTCCATGGGAGGAAAATGGGACTTTCTGCTCCTGCAAAGGGTCACTTATTTGGAATTGACTTGACTGCACTTAACAACAGCAACAACAGGAAGCATCTGAATTTAATTTTGATGGTAACCCCTGGGAGCACCTGAGGGAGAAGGAGGCCTCTCCACATGCCCAGGTGGCTCACACACACCTTACCCCAGCTAGCTGGATCCCACTCTGATGAACTGGATCCAGCTCTTGTTCTCTTCCCCTGCCCTCCCCTCTCCCTGCGTTTGGGAAGTAACTCCTAGGTCAGTGGCCTTTCTTTCCTCTTCCCCCTAATTCAGTTTCCTTAGGGGACTAGGTGGCAGGTTATAAAATTCCTGCCTTCTCTGTATCCTTCCCGACCTTTATTTACTAAAGACAAGGTCATTCCTTCTCCTTTCTTTTCCTGCTGCGGTATTGATGATGTTGATAATGACACTAGAATAACGTATAAAACACTTGCCGTATGCCAAGAATGCATCAACGTGCTTTGCATGTATTATCCCACTTAACAGTGGCCCTGTGAGATTCGTATTCCCATTTTACAGATGAGGCAATTAAGACTTGCACGATTAGTACAAGTGTCTCCATTTAAGCCCAAGCAGCCAGACAGATTCAGGTCTAACCAATGAAAAACCAAGCATACTCTCATCCCAGAGAGGTACAGAGCTGGGCAGCAGGCCTCTGGGCAAAGGCCTAGGCAGTGAGGAAGCCGCCCCAGCCCAGTGGCTGCTGTGGTTCAGATGGAGGCCCCGCGATGAGGCCAAATTTGCTCTGGGCGCCACTCAACCCAGGCCCAGTGTAAAGTCCTTCTCTCTCTGCCCACAGAGGTGCCCCTGTTTAATCCCTCTCTGGTATCAGAGAAGATCCTGCTACGGCTGCTCAAGTATCCAGATGTCATCCAGGAACTCAAGTTTGATGAGCACAACAAATTCTACAGCCACCATTACCTGTATACCCGAAATAAGCCTGCTGACTACTTCATCCTCATCCTACAAGTGAGATGCCCCCCTCATTTGTCCCCTCTGTACCACATCTGCCCTCCTATCCCTGAGACATCTCATGTCAAGTTCCCTGGTGTGGGAGCACGAGGCCTGTCCTTGTGCCTCTGCTTCCCCAAGTTGCCTGTCCTCTCCCTGATAGTGACCCTTGTGTCTCTGCATCTGACCTGCTGAGCTTTTGCTCATGGTCCCATTCCTGTTTCCCTTACCCCTCTGTTTCTGTCATGTTTTCCTCCTCTCCTGTTTGTAACCCTGAGCCTGTGTTCTTCCAGGGAAAGGTGGAAGTGGAGGCTGGGAAGGAGAATATGAAGTTTGAGACGGGTGCCTTCTCCTACTATGGGACCATGGCCTTGGCATCATCCCCCTCTGGTAAGTCCATAGGATGGCTTCGGGGTGGGAGAGACTGACACCTGGGAACTGAGCGCAGTCTTCATGGCTCGTAACTAAGGACATAAGCGTTTGCTGTTGCCTTGGGAGAGAAGGACTTGGGTGGAGGCTGAGGATGCCAGCACCCTGGAGAAGGTCTCCTGGAAAGCAGAGTGGCTTTTCTCTTTGGATGGACTTCAAAGGGGAAGAGATGAGAAGGGGATTTTGAGCAGCGGCTTGGAGACAGCTGAGTCTGTGTTTTTGTGACAATGAGACCAAGTTGCCTGAGGTGGAAGAGGACTGGGGACTAAGGGACGTGTTGGGGAGCCCTGGAATGTCCCTTGAGCATGGCTCTGATAGAAAGTAGAATGCCATTAGCAGTCTTTGAACACTAGGCAGAATGGACCAATAGAGACCCCGGTGGCCCTCATTGTCCATAACAGTGGGAAGAAGGTTGAGTGTGGGAAGCAGACAGAGGTAGTTGGCAGGGCTGGTGAGGACTGACCCTGGAGGGAGGAGTCCCAAACAGCCCCAACGACCCTGTCCAGGACCTCTTTGTTGGGGCAGGTTGTCGATGGATTTGGTTTTGCAAGGGGCTCAGCCACTGGCTTTTGGTTCAGGGCTATTTCTGATGAAATAAAGGAATTTAGGGACAAAACATGGACTAGACACCTTCTAAGAGAGGTGATCCAAGGTCTACAGACTGGCCTCAGAATGAGCATCCTGCTCTGGCATCCCAGCGCCCTCTGCTTCTCCTCTGGGCGGCTCAAGTTCTCTTGGCCGGTTCTGCTGCTCACTAGTGTACAATCCTGTGAGCTCTGGCGCTCAGTGTGGGACGAAGCGGGAAGAGCCTGCATTGCCTCTGCCGTGGGTCTGGGAGCAAAGGGACCAGCCCAGGTAGCCTCAGTGATGACTGGGAAGGACTTGTGTGGTCCTCCCGAGAGCACTGTTCACCGTCCAGCTGGGGAAGTGTTCAGAAGGGCATGCAGGCATTGGGGGTGTCTTCTTAGGCACACTTTCTCTTCAGTGATGCCCCCGGAGCTTGGGTCAGGGTCCTGGGCTCAATCCTACTACTTGTGAGCCTCCAGTACTCACTTGTAGTGGATGGAAACGAGTGGAAATGACATGTAGGAGGATCTAGAGCCACTGTCGGAGCCCCAGGCACACCCCGCCAGCCTCTCTCCTGCTCTGCACAGGCCTCATTGGTCTGTCCTGCGCACTGTTCCTTGGCAGAGCCCCGTCCCCTTTCCTCACTTGGACTCTTCTCTCTGCCAAGGTAGCCTGGCCCCCCTCAGGTCCACCTCTCCATTTTGTTCCTGTGGCCTCCCAACCATCACTGACTTTCTCCTCTTTTAATTCAGCACCTTCAACCCAGGCTGGGTGTCCGCCTGGCAAGCGGAACTCCCTGCTCTCCTGGCTCTCAGGTAACGTGGTATGGCTGGAGAAGGTCACACTGCTACCTGTTGTCTGACCACATGCCGCAGCTGCATTAACCTCTCCCCGCAGGCACGAGGGCTCCTGACAGGGCACCTGTTCAGACTTGGGGATCAGCCTTACTTTTACTGCCTCTGCTTGACCAAGAACCCACCTTCTGGTTCTGCTTTGCTCTGGTTCTGGAAGGGTCTCCGTCGATTCTTAAGGAAGCCCACACTCAGCATGTGCTTACACTTGTAGACAGCACAGATAATAGGCTGGAAATGGAGGGTCACTGCCCACCAGGCCAAGTCTGCAACCTCACCTGGAGGTTTCGAAGCCACTCACCAGCATGTTCCCTTTTGGGTGCTGGAGGAAACTGAGCACAGTGCCTCAGCACCCTGCTGATCGAGGCTACCCATCAACCTGGGCCAGATCACTCGCCTTTTCATCAGCTTCTAGAACACCTCCCGCCTTTCTTCACAGGATGTGCTTTCTGTTCTGTCACTCATGTCTGTCTGCCCTGTGGAGGCTGCCAGCACAGCACTCGCAGAGTCTAAATCCCATCTCCTCACTTACTAGCTATGTTGTTGCTGTTAAGTGCCGTGGAGTCTGTTCCGACTCATAGTGACTCTGCACAGGGTTTCCAAGGCTGCAAATCTTTATGGGAGCAGAAAGCCTCATCTTTCTCCCGTGGAACCACTGGTAGGTTAGCAGCCTGATTCATAACCACTATACTACCAGAGCTCCTTACTTACTAGCTATACGATGCTATAGTTATGGTTTTGTATTCAGCACAGAAATAACATAGGCTTATTTGGGAAACAGAAAAAAGTAGTAACAAAAACCAACAAATCCACTGAGGTTGAGTTGATTCTGACCCATAGCAGCCCTAGTAGGACAGACTAGAACTGCTTCCTAGGGTTTCCGAGTCTGTAAATCTTCCCGAGACTGCCTTATCTCTCTCCCATGGAGTGTCTGGTGGGTTTCAACTGCTGATTTTTTAGTTAACAGACCAATAGGGCTCTTGAAAAAAGTGTTCAGAAGTTTTTCAAGCTCCATAATTTCATTACTCAGTGTAAAAGTGATGTGGTGGAGGAATCTGGCCCCCTCTAACGTCACAGGTTAGAAAACAGTCATTACCTATAGGCTAAAGCTGGTTCCTATGGGGCAAGGTCAGACATACCTGTTAACCACAGAATTGCTATGAGTCAGAATGTACTCAATGGCACTTACCTGCAGCAACAGTCCCCACAAGGGTTGCATGCACCTTATTTGCTTTATTAGCAAGCTGTCCAATCCTCTTGGACTGGACCATAAGTACCTCATTTGAATAGTCCCATCCAATCATTTGATGAGAATTACAAAACCATCAAATGACTAGAAAGGCCATTTAAAAATAATTCATCACATCATAACTAGAGACAAACAATTATTGTTTTGCCCTATTTTCTTTCTAGGATCCCAATTTTTATTAGATCGTGTCACTAATTTGGTATTACATTCAGTTCCTATTATTTAAAAGCATTCTATCTTCCAAATAAGCGGGAATTTTAGCTAATAGCTCCATTTTTTGCTAAAGCTAAACTAGAGGTGTTACTTAACGTTAGAATGACTGATTCTTGCATACAATCTTGTGATTATTGTATACTATCTAATCATAAACTATTGCAGATTGTGTTTTCATGGGTTTGTGCATGAAAACCTAAGCTTTACTGCAGCTCAACGTTGACTGTTACTCAGTTCACTCTCATGGAGCTAAAGGCTGCGTTGGTCATTCAATTTCCTGGATTTCAATTGCTTTGCAAGTTTTGCTGGGCTATTTGTTAGAATGGAGTTCTGGTGGGTGCTGCGGGTTAATGCACTGGATTGTTAATTAACCTGGTTTGTACCTCAGGGTTGGTGGTTCAAGCTCACCAGCCACTCCTCAGAAATCCTATACAGGATTGCTGGGAGTCAGAATCGACTTGAAGAAGGCACTTAACAACAACATTTGTTAGAATAGCCACTATACCAAAAAGAATTGGCAGTCATTCAACTATTTCAGGAGGCAGCATATGATCAAGAACTGATGGTACTGAAGGAAGAAGTCTAAACTACACTGAAAACATTATTTAAACAAGGCTCCAGGAACTGAGGGAATACCAATTGAAATGTTTCAACAAAGTGGTACAACACCAAAAGTGCTCACTTGTCTATGCCAAGAAATTTAGAAGACAGCTACCTGACCAGTTGACTGGATGAGATCCATTTTTGTGCCCATTCTACAGAAAGGTGACCCAACAGAATGAGGAAATTATCAAACAATATCATTAATACCATATGCAAGTAAAATATTTCTGAAGATAATTCAAAAACAATTGCCACAACTCACGAACAGGGAGCTTCCAAAATTTCAAGCCGGATACAGAAGAGAATGTAGAATGAGGTATAGCATTGCTGGTGTCAGTTGCATCTTAGCTGAAAGTAGGGAATGCCAGAAAGATGTTTACTTGTGTTTTATTGACTGTGTACGCATTTGATTGGGTGGGTTATAACAAGCTATGGATAACATTGTGAGGAATGAGAATTCCTGGACACTTCATTCATTCGAACATAAGAGGACAATGCAGTTTAAAATCAGTAAGGTCTGCACCAGAGTTGTATCCTCTTGCCATACTTATTTAGTCAGTATACTGAGCAAATAATTTGAGAAGCTGGACTAAATGAAGAAGAACACGGCATCAAGATTGGAGGAAGACTCATAACAACCTAAGATAGATGACACAGCCTTGCTTGTTGAAAGCAAAAAAGACTTGAGGCACTTATTGAAGATCAAAGAATACAGCCTTCATTATGAATTACAGGTTAATGTTAAAAAAAAAAAAAAAAAAATCCTCACAACAGGACCAGAAACAACATCGTGATAAATCAAGAAAAGATTGACGTTGCCAAGGATTTCATTTTACTTGGATCTACAATTAACACTATGGAAGGAACACTGAAGAAATCAAACAATGTTCTTGCATTGGGCAAATCTGCTGCACAATACCTAAGACCTCTTTATAGAGTTAAAGAGCGAAGATATCACTTTGGGGTTACCCAAGTTATAATATTTTTAATCACTTCTTAGGCGTGTGAAGGCTGGACAATGGATAAGGAAGACTAAAGAAAAATAGATATGCATTTGATTGTGGTGGTGTTAAAGAATATAGAAAGTACCAGGGACTGTCAGAAAAACAAACAAATTTGTTTTGGAAGAAGTACATCTAGAATGCTCCGTAGAAGCGAGGATGGCGTACTTTGGATATGTTATCAGAAGGGACTAGTCCCTGGAAAAGAATATCACAATTGGTAAAGTCATTGAAAAACAGGAAGACCACCACACGATGGATTGACATGGTGGCAGCAACAGTGGGCTCATATATAGCAATCATTGTGAGGATGACGCAGGACTGAATAGTGTTTTGTTCTGTTGTACATTCAGAAGAAGACGTGGAACAAGGGATAACATTGCTGACGTCAAATGGATCTTTGCTGAAAGCGAATACCAAAAAGATGTTGACTTGTGCTTTATTGACTTAGCAAAAGCTTTCAACTGTGCCGATCATGACAAACTATGGACAACATTGCAAAGAATGGATATTCCAGAACACTTGAGGTGCTCATGAGGAACCTGTAGATAGACCAAGAGGCAGTTGTAGAACAGAATAAGGGGACACTGAATGTTTTAAAATCAGGGAAGGTGTGCACCAGGATTGTATCCTTTCACCATATTTTTTCAGTCTGTATTCTGAGCAAATAATCCAAGAAGATGGGTTATATGAAGAAGAATGTGGCATGGGAACTAGAGGAAGACTTATTACCGACCCGTGATATACAGATGATACAGTTTTGCTTGCTGAAAACAAAGAGGACATACAAAACTTACTGGTGAAAATCAAAGACCACAGCCTTCAGTATTGATTACACCTCATTGTAAAGAAAACAAAAATCCTCACAACTGGACTAGTAAGAATTACATCAAGATAAATGGAGAAAAGATAAATGTTGTCATGACTTCATTTTGCTTGGATCCACTATCAACACTTGTGGAAGCAGCTGTCAGTTAATCAAATGATGTATATTACATTAGGCAAATCTGTTTCAAAAGACCTCTTTTTCTGTCCAGGAGCTTGAGAACTAAGGTGTGCCTGACCCAAGCCATGGTACTTGCAGTTGCCTCATATGCATGCGAAAGTTGGACAATGAAGAAGGCAGACCTTAGAAGAACACTGCATTTGAGTTATGTTGTTAGAGAGAAATATTCAAAGTACCATGGACTGCCAAAATAACAAACAATTGGAAGAAGTACACCCAGAATGATCCTTAGAAGCCTAGATGGCGAGAGTTCATCTCTCATACTTTGAACATATTATCAAGAGGGACCAGTCGCTGGAGAAGCATATCATGTTTGGTAAAGTGGAGGGTCAGCAAAAATGAGGAAGACTCCCATCAAGATGGATTGACACAGCAGCAATGGGCTTGATTTTAACATAAGTTGTGAAGATGGCACAGAACTGGGCACGTTTTATTCTGTTGTGAATAGGGTCGCTATGAGTTGGAACTGACTTGATGGCACCAAACAACAACAACAACAACATATAGGAGTTACTATGAGTCGAAATCAACTCAAGTGTACCTAACAACAGTAACATTTATTGGAACCGCTAGTAGTTAACTGGTAAGCAAATTAGCATCTACTTCTCATTTGCATTTCTTTGTGCATCTTTGTTCTTTTCTAAGTTTCACAGAAATAAGAGTCTGTGCAGTTGTGTGCACAGTTCCTCTTTCAAAATACCATTCCGCGTCCTTTCTGATTTGAGATGGGGAGCTACTCACTCCCTTTTCCAGATTGGAGTCTTCTGGAGGCCTGTGTTACCTCTAGACCATTGCCTCAAGCTTTGTCTCATCAGACACCTATGATGGCTGTGGGAATGTGGCACTCTGGGAGTGCTAGGATTCTGGGAGAATCTCTACCGGGTTGATGGGGGCTCAGAAGACATAGGAATTAGGGATAAGACCGGGCTCCACAAAGAGCAGTTGATGTACAGGACACACTTTGACCCTTTCAGAGCATTTTAAGATGTGATAGAGTATGTATGTGTGGATGCGTGGTGAGAGAATATAAACTGTCTATTCCCAGTATTAATGTGGTATGTAAGTATGCTGTATATGTCACAGTGTTGTTGAGACAAGGATCACAGCTTGTCTGTAATGGTAGGGTAAATCACTGTATTGCCTTTGATTTATTATTGGGAAGCGAAGGATTTTGTAGCCATGAATTTTCTGTCTTTTTAAAAAATTTTTGTTCTTGTGTGTTGTCATCTTGGTAGACATTTTTATGCTTCTTGCATGATACTTCCTTCAAACAAACTAACTCATTTGCTTTGACAAGTTCAAACTTTCTGCAGTAACAGCTTCCACATGCGTCTTTTTGCTCCTAAGAGCCACCTCTTGTCCCTGCACGGGTGGGTGAGGGTACTACTCCCCTTGGCTTCCATGGGAAGAGGTCAACAAGAGGCTGTGAGTGGGCACCAGGGGGCTCCTGGCCTGATGTCCTCTGTTCTCCCCACAGACCGTTCCCCATCCTATCCCACGGTCCTCAGCCGCTCCGCCTCCCTCAGTTACCCGGATCGTACAGATGTCACAAGTACCCCACCCATGGCAGGTGGCAGCATCCAGTTTGGCAGCTCCATCCTGGGCCAGTATATCTCTGACTTCAGTGTCCGGGCCCTCATGGACCTACAATACATAAAGGTGAGTGCTTCCCCCAGCCCTTGCTCTGGCCAGCGCTGTCTTCCTTCTTCTACAGGTGTTTGGATCACTCTGCCTTAGGAACTAGCAACTTCTTTCATCCACAGAACCCAGCATAGTGGGCCCAGAACCAAGATATGTTTCCTTGTTCATGCTGCCATGTTCCTGGCTCATAGACTCAGTATAGACTCCACTTCCCCAGGTCCCGGGCCCTGCTCTCTGTGAACCTCCTCTTCCCTTCCTTCTGTAGATCACCCGACAACAGTACCAGAATGGGCTGCTGGCCTCACGCATGGAGAACTGCCCTCAGTTTCCTATGGATGGATGTACAATCTGCACTGAGAACTTCTCTGAGAAATCTGAGCTGCCTGTAGTGGACGAGACCACAACTCTTCTCAATGAACGTAACTCCTTGCTGCACAGAACCTCCCATGAGAGCGCCATTTGACAGGAGGGCCCGGGGGCCCCCCGCCAGCCCTGCGGGGGCCTCCCCAGTGGGCCCACATGAAAATAGAAAGCCTAATAGACCAGAAAGGGGATGCATATGGCCGTCTGAGCATCCAGATGGTCCCCAGTCCATGGAGATTTGGCCCTCTGACAGGGACCTTTGAACAACTCTGAGGTAGAGGCTACCCAGCCCTGGACTGATTGGGGTAATAGGCCAGCTCCCGTGAGCAAAGGCTGTTTTTTACTGAGAGCATTTCTAAACAAGATTCACTGCTCCTCTTTTTAAATAGCGTTTGGGGAAGGGAATAGGGAAGGGAAACAGGGTTAAGGAACTTTCTTAAAAAAGAATTTTTTTTTTTTTTTTTTTTCAAAAAGGGGAGGGTTTCACACCACAGGAAGCAATAGCCATGATTTGCTCCCAGCCATTACCTTTGGCTTGTGTCTCTTGACTTGGGGAGCCCACTTTCCCTTTTCTTTTTTCTTCTCCTTCAGAGGTAGGATTCCAGAGGCCTGCTCATAGGGTTGTCTCTTGGGAGGAAGACACTTCTTCCCAGGAAGCAAGGAACCAAATAGCATTAAGAACAAAAACCTGGGCAACATGTACAGAGGCTTGTGTGATGCTGCTGAGGCCAGGGGATTCTGGGTAACTGTTCAGGGACATGATAATTCCAGCTACAGTGAGGGGCACATCTACTCCTGCCTGTCACGGGATTCATGACCCTATTCGAACTCTGCTGACAGCTCTCCTGGTGAGTTCGGGCTCGGATGAGGCTCCTTGCCCTGCCCACATTGGTTTGCCTCACATGTGGGATAACTTTGGACAACTCTTTCCCCTTTGATGGGGCTGACTGAACATGTTAGGCAGGGTCTCATACCTTTAAGCTGGCTTACCCCTGCTCCTCAGACCCTGCCTTCACTTTTACCAAACGTTTCCCCCATAGTGTGAGAGTGTCTGCATTAGCGGTGTCTTGTCTCATTACTCCTTTTGGCTCCTTTTTGACTCTGGTCACAAGCATCTGCACTGTTAGCAGTTAATACTCCACTCCCCTCCCCTGGCTCCTACTCCAAAAGGAAAGTCAGGGCTCTTTTGCTGATTCCCTATGTTGATCGCCAAGCACCAACCCCCTGCAGGTCTGGGGACAAGAGAACCTGTTGAAAACCAAAATGAGCAGGTCTTCATGCCTCTTAACTCTGCTGCAGAGGCTTACCTGACCTTGTTCACACTTTTATGGAGCCCCCGGAAAGGTGGCTTCCCATCGGAAAGGCATACAACTGGCAGCCCTGTTTTCCCCATGACTGTGTAATCCTGCTGTGAGAGGCCAGCCTGGTCTTTGCTTAAGTATTGGTACTGTACCCTGAGAGTTCTTCCTGCCCGGGAAACCCTTCCCCAGCATCTTCTCCCCAGGGCCAAGTCCAACCCTGCTGTTGAGCTCTGGGCCTCCCACTGGTAGGGAGGCTGTGGGACCAGGGTCCTCGTTGGCCCTCTTAGCGGTTGGAACAGGAGCTGAGGCCTGGGATCCAGGCGAGGGAGACTGCAGACCTTCGGCTTGAGTATTATTTATTCACTTGTTTCTTCAACCCATGGAGTCCTGTCACCCCAGTGCTCCCTAGGTGCCTAGGGACCTAGTCCTGGGACCAGGAAATGTCTTGCACCAAGTTTACCTGCCCCTGGCCAATTAGAGGGTTTCTCTTGTCACAGGATTTACTCTTTCAAACCTTGTAAGAAGTTGTGGTGATGTTCATGGGTTGGTAGTCATATGGGAAAGACACCAGACCTGTGTTCCCATTGGGGAATCCCCCTTAGTTCTTCCCAGGAGCAGCTTGCTTTCTGAGACCATGCAGGAGCTAGCAAAGCTGTGTTCCTGGCAGAGCTCAGTGCCAGGTAAACAGAATGCATGACTGGAACCAAGCAAGTGTGTGTGAAGTGAAAGACGCAGGCACACATTTCTACAGCTACCTCTTTGCACACATGGTTACTATCAACAGATGGTCCCTCCTAACCCCCTCCCTTCCCATTTACAATCAATTCTTACAGAGGGTCATAATTATCTCCAAATATTACTGGTCTGATGACTTCCTCTTCCCAGTGCAATTATTCATTTCCTATTCTAACCTCTGGTTCCCGGGCTGAGCCATACCCTGGAACTGGCCCACCCCTGCAAGTCTTCCCGTGGAAGGGAGACCTTTGCAGATGGCATCCAAATGGGTAGGCAAGTCATAGCCACCATAGCAAAGAACTCATATTTATTTTGCATAAGATTTTAATTTGTATATTTTTGTGATTTTTTTTTTTTTGGCATTGTTATGAGTTTGACTCTCGGGGAGTTTTGTTGTTATGAGTCTTGTGTCTTTTGTCACAAAACAATGATAATATTTGCTAAACAATATATGGAATTTATTTTTGATTGGTAATAAAAGATGAAATATGTATAAATCTTGCTGAGTGGATAATTTGCCTGTTTGAGTTCTGTCACTGTTCAGTATCTGTAATAGAGGCTGAAGTGGCTGTGGTTGGGGAGGTGACTTAAACACTTACATGTGACAGGGCAAGGAAAAAGTATTCTGGGACTGCATAGCAGTAAAAAGTTACAAGCAGAAATGTAACTTTTAAAATACATGCAATCCAATGAAACGATATACGATAGAATGAATGTAAAACTAATGTTCTCCCATGTAAACTATCATATAATTCACAATAAAACATTAAAAAAATATATATATGCAATCCAAAGAATAATGCTGAACTGTAGGGCATGCTGCAGCTCTGCGCCTGGCACCAGACGTGTATGGTGAGTGCTTTTACTCTGAGACACCCCTCATCTCCAGCTTGCTCCAGGGCCTTCATCTATTGCCACCCTTGATTTCTATACTATTAAAGCCATCCTGAAAGAACGTCTGTGATGCTACTAACCAAACAGCATAGACACAGATACATACTTCTCATCTATTGATGTTCTCCTTATCCAACATTTCCCATTTATAACAGCAGTAAAAATCTACTGTCAGAATATTTTGTATGTTAACAACGTACATCTGGCATGAAGGAACTCTGAGGTGAGAGAACGCTGGCTGTGATGGTTAAGGTTGCCTGTCAGCTTAGCTGGGCTATGAGTCTTTGTGCTTTGGCAGTACGTAGTGATGCAATTTTACACTTAAGTAATGATGTGGCGCTGTAAGACAAAGCACTGGACTGCAAGGTAGGTTTGAACCACAAGGTTTTCAAGGAGTGGCTAGTGAGTGTGAACCACCGTCTTTGATAAGCAGTTCAGTGCTTATCCTACACTGCCACACTAGGACTTCCAGATATTAAAACATAGATTTGTGTATTTTCTGTTGTCCCCACACTGGAATCTGAGCTCCTTGGGCTGAGATTATATTCTCATCAATAGGACACCATCGAGTACAATGCAGGCATTTAGGAATAAAAGACTGAATAGAGAGTATGATGCTGTTGGATAAGCACTGGATTGCTAACCACAAAGTTGGAGGTTCAAACCCACTAGCCAGTCTTTGGGAACTCTATACAGGGTAGCTATGAGTCAGAACCAACTCCATGACACTTCATAATAACAACAGCAAAATATGGTAAGTACTGAATGTTTGGGGTCAGTGGATGCACATAGTTCCTAAACCCTTGATCTAACCTAGCCAAGATAATGGAAGACCAATTGGAGGAAGTGGATAGGAGCTTGAGAGATAGAGCACGAGTTAGCCAGTGAAGTTATGCCCAATAGGTATGGGTTTAAAATTCAAGGATAAATATTTAGATATTCATCTTCTGAAAGACTGTGACCTTTCCAGGCCTATCTGAGGCCTTTTTTCACAGGTTTTGGTTAGAAGTTGAGGGACCCAAGAACATTCTGCTCTTTGTTATTTTAGGGGTGCACATTACCTTCTACAAAACAAGTTTTACATAATTGTGGCCATAGTGCCTCTACTTTTTAAAATAGTGTTATTTTCATGATACAACAAATGCATTTCAACAGAATTTTTATAAAAAATAATTTTTAATTACACATGTAACCTCAAAAGGAGCTCTGGTAGTGTAGTGGTTACAAATCGGGCTGCAAGCCTCAAGGTCAACAGTTCGAAACTGCCAGCCGTTCTGCGGGAGAAAGATGAGGCGTTCTGCCCTGGTAAAAATTTAGCTTCGGGAACCCTGTACAGAGTCGCTATGAGTCCGAACCGACGCCACAGCACATAACATTATTGGGAAACAAGTCTGTTATTCTGGATATCTGTCAAGAAGCCTTGTTAGCTTCCAATTGCATAAAGATAATTTATTATGAATAAGTAATATTCCATATTGTCAAGAGACCATATTGTCTTATAGGATTATTTCCCAAGGACGAATTACTAGAAATGGAGTTACCAAACCAAAACATTCATGTGGAGTCTTTGTGGGCTTTACTTTTCTCCTGTAAAATATTAATAACATGAAGTAGCTGTGAGGATCCAATTTGGTAGGTTTGTGTTTAAACCTATTAACCATCCGTCTTCCTGGTGGGAATGCACTTTCCTTGAAGGCAAGGACTGGATTTTGACTTTCAAAGTCAGGAGTGATAAACATCTTCAATAAAATTTATCCCATAAGACTCAATGGGAATACACGCTGTGATTGGTGACCACGCTCAACACCGATAAGGGGAAGTGAGGGAAAAATAGCAATGAAGTGGTGAGCTAAGCCCTACA